GGATTGTATGCTGATAACATGGATAAGGAGAGACATGGATTGTATGCTGTTAGGGAGAGACATGGATTGTATGCTGATAAGGAGAGACATGGATTGTATGCTGATAAGAAGAGACATGGATTGTATGCTGATAAGGAGAAACATGGATCGTATGCTGTTAAGGAGAGACATGGATTGTATGCTGATAAGGAGAAACATGGATTGTATGCTGATAAGGAGAAACATGGATCGTATGCTGTTAAGGAGAGACATGGATTGTATGCTGATAAGGAGAAACATGGATCACATGCTGATAACATGGATAAGGAGAGACATGGATTGTATGCTGATAAGGAGAAACATGATTTGTATGCTGATAAGGAGAGACATGGAATGATGCTGATAAGGAGAGACATGGATCGTATGCTGATAAGGAGAGACATGGATCGTATGCTGATAAGGAGAAACATGGATCGTATGCTGTTAAGAAGAGACATGGATTGTATGCTGATAAGGAGAGACATGGATTGTATGCTGTTAAGGAGAGACATGGATTGTATGCTGATAAGGAGAGACATGGATTGTATGCTGTTAAGGAGAGACATGGATTGTATGCTGATAAGGAGAGACATGGATCGTATGCTGATAAGGAGAGACATGGATCGTATGCTGATAAGGAGAGACATGGATCGTATGCTGATAAGGAGAGACATGGATCGTATGCTGATAAGGAGAGACATGGATTGTATGCTGATAAGGAGAGACATGGATCGTATGCTGATAAGGAGAGACATGGATTGTATGCAGATAAGGAGAGACATGGATCATATGCTGATAAGGAGAAACATGGATCGTTTGCTGATAAGGAGAGGCATGGATCATATGCTGATAAGGAGAAACATGGACTGTATGCTGATACGGAGAGGATTGTATGCTGATATTTAGGAGAGACAGAGCACATGACTACTGTGACAAACTTGTTCCCAACTCCCCCAACTACCATTTGCTGAAGAGGAGTGTTTACTACCTGTAACAATTAATTGTCTCCTGGTTGAAACAATGACCACAATCTGAGGCGACTGATTGGATGAACAGCACCCACGGCAGACTTGCATAACATTGGTTCAGATCTCTACTTAACCATGTCAAGTGAGAGTGATTATGGTCAACATTGCATCAGCAATCTTGCAGTTATTCAATCTCAAGTGCCATAAATAGGACTGGGACGCTGATTTATTGTTTAATGACAATAACAAAAAACTCAATGGTTACACTACAAGTCGCTAATGTTTGCTTTTCTTTCTCACTATGCACACACTTCTTCTGACTTTTAAATGTTTCACAAGAGATACAGCTTCAGTTAACTTCAGCATGTTCAGTCAAGATCATATTATAGTTGTATCTAATTAATTTGCTCAGGGCTATAACAATTCCCTATTGAACATTCTATACCCAACTCTTGAGACCTTCTGTGGGTACCCAGATAGGGTTGGGCAATGGAGGGTCACGTATCTGGGTAGTAAATTTTGACTTGTCCCAGCCCGAGTCATAAATTATGTCAGTGATGCAAGTTAACCTGAAACATTATTACCCTACCAGTGCTTTTATATCAGGGGATCTCCTCAAAGACATGAAACATATAGAAGTAGCCCTTGGAATACCTTAAACTTCTGACACTTAACCTTGTTAAAACAAAGTGGAATAGGTAGACTTTAATAAGCAGCCATGCTTGAAAAAGATATAGACATTTTAGGCATCTGTATTTCAAACATACATGAATAAGACCGGGATTGATCTGAGAGTCACCCAGTACCTGTGGTCACGTCTTGGTAATTGAGGATGGAATCTTGTAATGATATATCAGATGAGTATAACATGTGCATTGTGACACCTTGTGAAACTGAACTTTATCACGCTGATATTATAAGTTGTAGTAGGATCACAAGGGGTACATCGGGTTTTATGCGTTCCGCGTTAGGTTTAACACGATGAGCTGGAGGTGAGTGGTATACAACCTGACGTGGGACGCATAAAACCCCATGTACCCCGAGTGATCCTGCTACAACGAATTTATCTTACCGACATGTTTTAATATGACATTGTAACATGATTAAAACAATTTCTAATTGATAGAACACAGCTGTTTGATTGAGCTGAGGTTAGCTTGCGTAATGTCACGTGACTTCCATTGACTCAGAAAAATGTGTGACTTTTTGTTTTGAAGAAACGTATAAGAGATTTTTTCTGCCTCTCAGAAATCCACGTGCAGCATGACTTGCTCATGGCGGGATATAAGAGATTTATTCTCCCGCTGGGAAATTTATTCCCCTCCAAGGCGAGAAGTACAGAAGTTTATCAAGATCACGTGGACAAATCAAATCTCATCATTCTGACATGGAGGTATGATAAATTGTTAAATATTGTTTAAGATAATGCAGCATACAGTCCATGGTAAATTAATGGTAAAAGCATTGTAAAGGACCGGTATCCATACTGATAGTGAGTGGGGGAGTCTAAAAGCTGCTATGACCAGGCTGGTATTTCAGTTATGTACACTGTATCACAGCATGTCATCTTCATGTAGGAGAACAGCCCAAAGTAATGCCTGTCTCAGACATTTACCAGTTTGGTGAACCCTTACACATAGCTATGGTGCTACAGACTGCACGAGGGGCGGTCGGGTAGCCTGGTGGTTAAAGCGTTCGCGCATCACGCCGTAGACCCGGGTTCGATTCCCAACATTGGTACAATGTGTGAAGCCCATTTCTGGTGTCCCCCGCCGTGATATTGCTGGAATATTGCGAAAAGCGGCGTAAAACCATACTCACTCACTCACTCAGACTGCACGATGACAACATGGTCATCTGGCATGCCTGGTGAATGTATGCCCAAGGAAAACTTTACAGTTCTGAGAAGGGGTTTGCCAAGACAGTCAATATTAAAATGATATGACACAAGGCTGCAGAATAATCACATCATGGAGGAAATTAGATATTCCATAATTATTCCACAGTGCAATACTATGTGGCAAAAAGAATAATTGGATAAATGGATAAGCCTGGCAATAAGGTTGTATAGTTTTATCAGGTCTATCAGCAATATGAAACTTCATCCTGACTCAGCTATGCGACACAAGTGCCGCATCAGTTACAGCAATTATAATGACAAAAACATATGGAACACCTCGTCATTAATCCCTCCTACCTTGCACGTCATCCAAACAGGTGTTGCCACATATGGCTCTGTCATGTCATAGATACCAATACAAGTACTTACACCACTGTTTTCAGGGAAAAAACAATATACTGATGAAAACAAATAAGGGAACAATGAAAAATACAGGGAAATTAGCCTCAATGTCAGTACATTTGAAATAGCAAGCATACAAATTCAACACATGTCAGAATTAAATGTTGAGGGCTTAGGCTAAAACCAAAAAAAATAGTCTTGGTTCTCAGGCACCGCCCGCATCATCTTGAAGTTCGCCACACGTTTCGTTTTTATTTCCATTTAAATTTTTTTTTTTAAATCCTCAAATACTTCAAGTCCAGTGGTGGTCAAGTATCATATTTATTTTGTAGATATATATTTTTAATTAGGAAAAGTTTTTTTCTGGGACTAATGTCAGTCTCATCTTTCGAGCAGCGTAGAGTGTCACGCATACATTGTTAAAGTCATGCACATCTCAGATTTTCTGTCCCTTTCCAACTGCTGTACAGCTCAACTGAGGAAAGCAAATACCGTATTCGACATAATAAGCGCCCAGGGCACTCTCAAAATTAGAAATAGGGGGCTCTTATTAGAATATTATTTTGGTGAAAAAAAAACAGAGTTGAAAGATAAATTTCGTGGTTTATGCTGACAGCCTGAAGTGTTTATGTACAACAAATATATTTTTCAAAAATGTAACTAAGGGTGCATATAACACACGAGTGCGTATTATACGCGAATAAATAAGTCTTGAGTACATTGATCAATCGTAAGTGGTGCTAATTGGGATTGTTCACCAGCCAATATATTAGCAAATGTCGCCGTGGGCGCTTATTAGAGCAGGGCGCTTATTACGTCGAATACGGTAACCAGACATGTCACCATCACTTGTAACAAGAACAGATTCTAATTTTGATGTATATAATTTGTTTAACTTTAATAGAAAAAAATGTAAATGTTAGAAAGCCCATGTGGTCCTCTTCAGCCCATTTAAACATCTGTACACTCTATATTTAAACATGAGAGACAAAAGAAATTTGTGTCATGTGCTATAAAAAAATCACAAAATGGTAACCATGCTAACTAGAAATATGATGCAATTACTTTTGTTTTTAAGTTTAAATCAAACCTTCAAAATTCACGCCAGTTGGCTAACTTGAGATTACTAAATTGTGCTGAGGGCAATGATGGTAGCATTTGAGGGCAAAATTCAGGAAACAGTTCTCAATGTAGCAGAAAATGTAAATAAAGTAAACATTTTAATCTTGTTCAATCAGGACTATCTACTAATTCAAGGTTACGGTCCCGTTCCACAAAGCGATCGTAACTACAATCAATCTTAGAGACTTACGTCGATTGTAAAATTGTCTTAGCTAAAGTTTACGCCCATTCCACAAAACGATCTTAGGGCGATTGTAACTTTACAAGTTCTTAAGTAGCCGATCTTAACAAAGATCGGAATCTTCAGCCATGAAGATATGAAAGTTTCCCTAAGAGTGGCCTCCCTTGGTCATGTTTAGCAGATGACGCATTGTCGAAATATGGCCATCTTTGTTGCTATTGTACAATATTTAAGATTGATTTTAGCGATCCTAAGTTGGTCCGGAGCAACTTAGCATTTTGATCTTAACGTACAACTCTCTTAGTTAAGATTGCTTTGTGGAACGGGCGGCCGATCATAACCAAATTTAAGATCGCGTACTTAGTGAGTTACAATAATCATAGTGCTAAGATCGCTTTGAGGAACGGGGCCCAGGACTAGTCTGAAAAATATCCCAAACATTTCTAAGGCTGCATATGCACACACAAACCTGTACAATGTCAAGCACCATGCCTGCTCCCACTGTCCCGAATCCTGCTATGATATATGGGAGCGCCACCTGGAAAGCAATGCTCCAGCATTTCTCCTCTGACCTGTCATCAACGACAGAAGTCCTTGCTGTGGTGGCGCCATCACCATCATCATCGTCATCCCCACCATCAAGCAGTGGTGCTGTAAGGCTGGTTGTAATGTCGTCATTGTCGGAATCTCCCAACTGGGTGCCGTGAGAGGTCCTCACAATTGTGTCTCCATTTGGTAGTAGCGATATGTTATTGTGTATTTCTGCCCTGTCCGTCTTAGTCTGGTTTTTTTGCCTCTGATTGGATGCGGATTCAGAAAAATCCCGAAGTTCCACGCCGTCGTCTTGGGAAGTCATTGAAGTGACACGTGGAACCATTATTTTGTCATTGCCTTTGCGCCGACTGCGAAGACTATATGCCGCTGCTCCGTAGGCTGACATTCTCAACACCCCTCATAATGTCTCCCAACACAACTTTAGAAGAGTTGGTTTCAAACCTGAAACATGTCAAACATACTGTCTCAACACTAGAACCACAGATCTTTCAAATACATCATCTCAACACTAGAACAACAGATCTTTCAAATACATCATCTCAACACTAGAACCACAGATCTATCAAATACATCATCTCAACACTAGAACCACAGATTTTTCAAATACATCATCTCAACACTAGAAACACAGATCTATCAAATACATCATCTCAACACTAGAACCACAGATCTATCAAATACATCATCTCAACACTAGAACAGCCATAGATATCAAACACACTGATTCAACACTAGAACAGCCATAGATATCAAACACACTGATTAAACACTAGAACAGCCATAGATATCAAACACACTGATTCAACACTAGAACAGCCATAGATATCAAACACACTGATTCAACACTAGAACAGCCATAGATATTAAACACACTGATTCAACACTAGAACGGCCATAGATATCAAACACACTGATTCAACACTAGAACTAGGGCTGCCACGATACATGAAGGTCAAGATACGATACGCATCTCGATATTCAGGTCACGATACGATACGTATCTCGATACGCAATGATAAAAAAAACAAGACTTAAAGCATGTCAAGATTGAACCTTTCATGATTTTGGAACAGTCAAAATTATTTTTTAATAACAAGACTACTGAACATGCTGAAGTGGTTAGGCTTCAAAGTGGAACTTTCCCTAACTTTCCTTCCAAACAATTCAAAGTTCAAACACCAGAAAATAATGTACTTCACCAGTCATACAACTTCAAAGAATTTTGATGCAATGGTCGAATAAATTGAATCAGAAATTATTGTTTTATCAGGAATAATATATTCCGATATCGTGTTACTTTATTTGCAGCTTTTACTATATATATTCTTAAAATTATAAGAACCACAAGTGTAGGATTTTGGTACTGGTGATTGCTGTTGCAGGATATTTATACGTATGGAACAATTTGACCAGTCACTGTAGAGACTTCCCGCGCTACATGTATTTCGATTGCGAAAACGTTATGTTGACATATATTAGCCAAATTGCCACAAATATGACTTTTAACGAGTCAAAGTAGGGCATTGTTAATATAAGTATCTATTCTCTAGCAACTAACGTCCATTTCAATGTGTCAAAGGTGGTAATCTGACCGTGGTTGCTGTATCTCTTCACACACGATTTCACCTAACTTAATGAAAACACTATTAAATGAAATTTTGAATAAAATTAATAAAATATATTACAAACACAAGTCCAGATAGACAATGAACACATTTTAATAAAAAGATAGTATAATAATGGTATTGAATTGCGTACTTCAGTTCGATTTGCTGACTGGTATTTCCGGTGTTATGTGCTTGCGGTGATCAGCTGATAATGTTTTTTGAGATGGGGAAAAACACCCGTAGGCGTAAAACCTGAGCTTATTAAAAATGTAAGTACGTTTTTTGGAGCCATGCGTTACCACGCGCTATAACCAAGTTAGCGGTTTATTGAAAGGCACAATAGCTGTACTTGAGATTTGCGTTCCGTATCGTGGCATATCGATAAATGGGCCCACGTTTATCGCATATCGTATCGTGGGTCAAGTATCGCGATGCATCGGAATATCAGTGTATCCTTTCACCCTTAACTAGAACAGCCATAGATATTAAACACACTGATTCAACACTAGAACAGCCATAGATATCAAACACACTGATTCAACACTGGAACAACCAAAGATATCAAACACACTGATTCAACACAAGAACAGCCATAGATATCAAACACACTGATTCAACACTAGAACAGCCATAGATATCAAACACACTGATTCAACACTAGAACAGCCATAGATATCAAACACACTGAATCAACACTAGAACAGCCATAGATATCAAACACACTGATTCAACACTAGAACAGCCATAGATATCAAACACACTGATTCAACACTAGAACAGCCATAGACATCAAACACACCGATTCAACACTAGAACAGCCATAGACATCAAACACACTGATTCAAAACTAGAACAACCATAGATATCAAACACACTGATTCAACACTAGAACAGCCATAGATATTAAACACACTGATTTAACACTAGAACAGCCATAGACATCAAACACACTGATTCAACACCAGAGGTGAGGTTAGGTGAAATGGGGTTTAACGTCGCGTTCAAGATTATTGCACTTATATAGTGACGTGCCCTTAATGCCGAGCGCGAGACAGGGTAAGAACAAGTACCATCTTTTAACGTCTTTTGGTATGACGCAGCTGGGGATCGAAACCCGGGCCTTCCGCTCTCCGGGCGGACGCTCTGCCATTAGACCACAGAGGCGGTCTTCAACCTGATTCAACACTAGAACAGCCATAGATATTAAACACACTGATTCAACACTAGAACAGCCACAGAACTGTCACAAATCCTACTGAACCAAATATAATGATCAAAGGTATCAGGGAAAATATTAGGCACTCTGCTCCATGTCCTATGGATTTTATACTTCACTGACTGGTTTCAATTCTAACCTAGGAATCAACCATGAAATCTGTTGCCAAAGTTTTCCAATTATTTGTCTTCGATATTTTGTCCTAATCAATATTTATGAGCAAACCATATGAAGCTTCACAAGTCTGATAAAAAACAATGTTAAAACCAGGTGTTTTACTAGACCCGCTCAGAGGCTGATATTCGACCCAAAGTACGCAGCAAATGACAATACAAAATGCCAATTTGTATACAACATTTCCCAAGTCCTCACAATTTAAAATATGAATATCAAAAATATCAAATTTTTATCAATATCACAATGGTTCCCTATTTTCTTGCCAAGGTCAGTTAGTTTCAACCACCCTAGATACAATCCCAATCCTGTAAAGCATGCAGGGTTTCAATGCTTATTACAGTTACTTCAATGCGTTATTTCCATCTTATTTTGCTGCAGAGTACTGTAAAATATCATATAAGATAAGTAACATTTTTCAATGTTATTTACATATAGGAATAAGCATGATAATCTGAAAAATGATCAGAACAGGCTCATTGCACAATCAAATTTACAAATCATTAAATTGCTGTGTAAACATAGTAGTGGGCCAACTTGACATATTCAATATGACTGCAATAGTTGCTTGTTGGTAAACATTGGTATTTCATAAAATTATGCTCACATCTTTGCTCTTCCACACCATGCACACAATCTCCTCCGATAATCCGCTGCCAACATCTGTCCACCTCTGCACTAGTCATATGTATTCATATAAGAATACATGTGCATCGGTACAGTTGTCTGAACGAACTAATCAATAGCCGTATCTATATTTGTCATATGATCGGCACTCATCAATGTCTGTATGCTTCAACTCCATACTTTAACAGACTCGGGATTGTCACAGCATAGTGTACGTTGTACACAATACCCTCCTGATCCCATGCCATTGTATGGAGGAGTGAGTGAGGTGAGATGATGTGGGATTTAACGTTGCTCTCAAGGTTTTTGCACTTATGTAGTGCATGTGCGTATTTGCGCGCATGTGTCTGCTTGTTCTTGTCTGGACTATTGCTGGTCTTACAGTGCTGGCCCACTTAGATGTAATCATGCTGCAGTTTTAGATGAATATCCCACTCAGACACAGTATAATGACCCTGAGGTGACCAGTCTGTGTTTTATTCCCTTAATGCTGAATGCCAGAAAGGGTAACATGAAGTACCGTCTCAAGAGTTTAACACTTCGGCAGTCTGTGTTTTATTCCCTTAATGCTGAATGCCAGAAAGGGTAACATGAAGTACCGTCTCAAGAGTTTAACACTTCGGCAGTCTGTGTTTTATTCCCTTAATGCTGAATGCCAGAAAGAGTAACATGAAGTACGGTCTCAAGAGTTTAACACTTCGGCAGTCTGTGTTTTATTCCCTTAATGCTGAATGCCAGAAAGGGTAACATGAAGTACCGTCTCAAGAGTTTAACACTTCGGCAGTCTGTGTTTTATTCCCTTAATGCTGAATGCCAGAAAGGGTAACATGAAGTACGGTCTCAAGAGTTTAACACTTCGGCAGACTGTGTTTTATTCCCTTAATGCTGAATGCCAGAAAGGGTAACATGAAGTACCGTCTCAAGAGTTTAACACTTCGGCAGTCTGTGTTTTATTCCCTTAATGCTGAATGCCAGAAAGGGTAACATGAAGTACGGTCTCAAGAGTTTAACACTTCGGCAGTCTGTGTTTTATTCCCTTAATGCTGAATGCCAGAAAGGGTAACATGAAGTACCGTCTCAAGAGTTTAACACTTCGGCAGTCTGTGTTTTATTCCCTTAATGCTGAATGCCAGAAAGGGTAACATGAAGTACGGTCTCAAGAGTTTAACACTTCGGCAGACTGTGTTTTATTCCCTTAATGCTGAATGCCAGAAAGGGTAACATGAAGTACGGTCTCAAGAGTTTAACACTTCGGCAGTCTGTGTTTTATTCCCTTAATGCTGAATGCCAGAAAGGGTAACATGAAGTACGGTCTCAAGAGTTTAACACTTCGGCAGTCTGTGTTTTATTCCCTTAATGCTGAATGCCAGAAAGGGTAACATGAAGTACGGTCTCAAGAGTTTAACACTTCGGCAGACTGTGTTTTATTCCCTTAATGCTGAATGCCAGAAAGGGTAACATGAAGTACGGTCTCAAGAGTTTAACACTTCGGCAGACTGTGCCCAAAGCTTGTAAGTCATTCAACTAGCCCAAACATGGCTGTTAACATCATTGTAAGTAGATTTTAATATTATTATATGACTAGTATTAGCTGAGCTCACTAGACCAAACAGAATTCTACTAGAGTTGGGCTTTGGACTAGCAGCAAAAGTCGCAGACTGCTTCGGTGAACCCCACAAGTAGGTGCTGACAAATCAAGAATCTTAAACCGGGCAAACAATGGCTTTGAACCCAAGGTAAGATTGTGTCCTAAAAGGTATGCTTCTGAATTGTGAATGACTTGAAAAACTCTTGTCTATGTAAAAAGGCATTTCACT